TCCCTGCTGGGAAGCGTGATGAGGATCAAGACACGTCCTGTGTGGGGATGCCTGTTCGTAGCTTTTGTGATTATAGAAGAGTAATCTCTTTTTTATAACTGAAAAAAAAAAAAAGAAGAGATGATAATAGTTGTCAGGTGAGTTGAGGGACCCAATTTGGACCCCTGTGTGTGATTTGTCCCTTGGCCTGGTTGTGATGCAAGGTCTTCAGGTTTGACTGTGGTTATGTGGTGGATCTGTGCCAGGGGTGGAGGAGAAGCGACAAGCCTGCCTGCAGACAAAGGCTTCCAGCTTCCAGGCTGGACAGGGCTACGTCTGCCTGGTATCCCCCTTGCACCTCTGCATGGAAAAGCCTCTGGGGAGCCACTTGGGAATGAGCAGCTGAAACTGGTTTTGGACTCATGAAGTGACTGCTGCCTTCTTGAGCATGGCTCATCTTGAACTGGTGGGAGAGCCCAGAGTCCCATGGGCAGTTAGTTCCCTCTGGGGGATCTCGGTGGTTGCCATGTTTGCCATGTTGTGACAAATGATTAGGCGTGACAGGGAGATAAATCAGCAGGTGTCTTGCAGAGAGCATGTGGTGAAGATGCTCCAACAGCAGCCTGCCATTGCAAGGGGTCTCTGTGGTTCTCGGCTCACTAGCATGTGTTTGCTGGGGCTCAGCAGCTCACTTAGAGGTATCGGCCCCATCAGAAAAACCACAAGTGTGTCCCCAAAGTATGGACTGATTTCTGTCAGCAAACATTTCTCTCTCTGTTGGTGCCCCTGCCCCTCTCTAGGACTGTGCTGCCTTATTGCCAGGTGATACTGAGCAGGAAAGCAATGCCCCAGGCTTTCGCCTCCTATGCTTTTTCCATGGTGGGGCATCTCCACATCTGCCCACATCGTGTGTTTGTTCACTAGCTGGGGCTGGCACCTGCAGTCCCAGTGGGTGGGTGTGGTCTTGGTCTGTCATCTCAGAGAGTTCTACAACACACTTGTGGCACTGGAGTAATGTCTTCCTTCTCTTTGTACCCGTGCTTACAAAGCACAGATGCTTCCCAGCCACTAGGATTTCAGGCCTGAAACACCTGAGCAGCAGGAGCAAACGGCAATGTCTGATCTTCTTGAGAAGTTGTGGTCTGATGAATATTCAGTAAAAACATTTTCAGTGCTGCTTCTAGGGCACAGACCACGTATATTCCTATGTCTCTAGAGCATCTAAGACCTCTGTGCTAAACAGACTGAAATAAAATGATAAGTAAAAAATAGGTCTTCACCTGTGCTCCTAAAGCCACATGGAAACAGTACTGTCTCCACTGTGCCTTTTCACAAACCACAGGAGTGTTGATAACAGCTGTTTGTGTTCATCTGGGCTCCTGTAGTCTGGGAGATCATCCATCTCCTACCTGCTAGGGTTGCATGGCATCTTACTAACCAGAAAAGTATTTTCCCACTCTCTCTGCCATGTCCCCAAGGGACCCTGCAGTGAGGGCAGAATTGCAAAATGTGTCTCTGTAATCCAGGAGGTAGCACAAATATCCATGGGCTGGTGAGTTCACCAGAGTAAACGGATGGAGAGAGATCTCTTAAATGCACTCTAGCAAGGCTGCCTCACAGAGGCACGGGGGTTCAAGAGTGTGTTATGGCTTTCAGTACAGCAGTAGCTTCTTCATGCTTCATGGTTTAACTGTATATGTAATGGCACATTTGTTCTTTCCAGTAGTTTTGAGAGGATACAAAAACTTGCAGAACCCCAGAAAACAGCCGGTGCAAATGAACCCAGGTAAGGAGGTGCCCATACAGCTCTGGCTCAAGAAATGGGGACTTGGCCTCAGCTGATGCAGACCTTTTGCCTTTGTCTTGCTATTGTTTTCCTCTCAAGAACAGAATCACTCCAACAAGAACAGATTGAGATGTTCAGTGGGTGAGGGGCTCTCTTCAATATGCTTTCTTGTTGTCAGTCCAAAAACTGGTCTTGCCTTTGCTGCCCCATCTGAGCTGCCCTGCTGAGATGTTGCAAGGTAGGATGGTGCTGTGGTGCAAGAAGTCTGGACTCCATTGGAGTCACAGGCTGCTGTATGCTGGAGGACACAGTCCATCTTTAGGAATCAAATTGCTGTCTGCATTATGGGGTCAAGCTATGGCTGGTCAAGCTATGTCTTGACAAACAAAGGCAACAGTCTCTGGATAATGTCTCTTTTCCACTGTCTGAATGGGTGTTACTGTGCTCGAAAAAGGCTGCACAGACACATCACAGTGCACTTCCCTCTCTTGAAAACCCTGGTACCCTCTCCCACCATGGCCTCTCTCTCATTAGGGGATGAGCAACTCCACATTTGCTGTAGGCACAGGAGAGTAACCACTAACGTGCTGCAAAACCTCACCCACTTTCCATGGCACACCCTGACCCTAACATTATTATTATTTTTAATGCCATTCCTGTGGTATAGTTAGGTGGTAATGGTGAGGCAAGAAAAATGCAATCATGAAACTCCCCCAGGGGTTTCAGAGATGTAATGAAACAAGCCTTTCTGCACATCCACTGGTAACTGTAAAACCGGACTCATCACTTCAAGGCTGTTTTCTTTCTGAGTTGACAACCACCACATGGACAGAGTTAGGAAATGCAGTGCCAGAGAAGGTGAGTGCTCTGGGGATGGCAGCTACACTGTACAGCTGTGGAAAGCCATAGGGACTGTGTGTGTGTCCCATCCTAGGCAGGGCAGGATAGCCCCAGCAAGTACATTTCACACTTATGCATGTTTCTAAAATGTCAAATCTTTGCTGTTCTTACTAGGATTGTGTGGGGAAACCAAGAGACCCTCTGGACTGTCCCGCGAGGTGCTGTGACAGCTCGGCCGTCCCCAAGAACAGCAGCACTGGCCAAGCCCAAAAAAGATTTTGGCAAGCACCGGTGCAGGTCAGTGATGTGGTAGCACATCTGGGGGAAGGAAACAGCTCAGGTGGTGCTCTTTGATCAGGGGAATGTGCCATCTCCTCTCCTGCCACCACTGCTCACATGGAGCTCCATGCCACTGAGACACATTAGGCTGTGCTGATGCTTGGAACAGGGGCTGTCTGTAGCAGGGAAGAAAGTGCTATGGGAGCATAGTCACCCAGAATGCTTGACTTCCAAAATGAGGAGGAACTGGGGGGGTGTTAAGTTTTGGTGCCATTTTATTTCCTCATAGCCTCTTCCTGGCTATAGGAAGGGCTTCTGCAATGCATGGTGCTTGATGTTCTGATTAGTGCTCTAGTTTTGGATCAGCTGCCATAGGAGCCAGCCTTGATCTGGCTGCTCTGCAAGGAAGAAGAGACATAATGTGCATGCGTGTATGCCTTGATGGGAGCATATATTTGTCACAGCTAGGCATACAGAGGGACTGTCTGTGCCTAGGGTGTTTGCTGTCCATACTGGGGCTGATGCAGCCCAGACAGGCCCCTGGACACAATTTGTGATCCTCCAAGTCCTCTTGGAGTCTGGCCTAAATCTTGAGGATAAAGGTTAGGAAATGCTATAAGCAGAAATATGGCAGCATTCTGCTGGCTCAAGGGAATTCATGTTTCCTGCTTTGAGCTAAACCTCTGCTGTCACTGGTAAGCAACCAGTCAAAGCAGTCCATGAAAAAATGTAAACTTCAGTAGGGCTGGGTGGTGCTGCATTGCTTGAAGCGACTTGTCTGTAGCTCTGTTGGAGGGGATGAAGTGCTTTTGGAGACAGGGTGGTAGTTGCTAGTCTGTAAGAAGTCCTATCAATGAGAATGGAGATAAAATAGTGTTACAGTCCTGGCTTTCCTCTACCTGGTGGAATGTCAAAACACATGTGTAGTTTTCTCTGTCACTGTCATCAGTTCAGGGGCCCTCCTCCTCCTGAGAGCTCCTGCCTCTAACTAATGCTGTCCATCTGACAGCCCTTCATGCCTTTCTGCTCAACCTCTGCTCACCCCTTTCCTGATGATGACAGGCATTTGCCAGCAGCTGTGGCTGAATGGAAAGCTGGGTGAGCATGGACTAAGCAAGCATGGGGAGATCCCAAGATGAAGGAACCTGCAAGAGCGCAACGTGCTATTAAGCCACTGCAACAAAGAGGTTTCTAAATTGGCAGAGCTGAACAGAGGTGCTGCCAAGTTTGATTTGTGGAGTAGCTTCCTGAAATGGCCCAGGGATATGTGAACAGCATTTACCTTTCAAGCTAGGAAACGCCAAGTGTAAATGCCAATTTGTTTGTGGCTTTTCCATGTGCACCAGTGCTGACTTAGGTACATGTAGCAGGCATGAATGTTTAGCCAGACTTAGGATACCATCTGCCAGGATCATGTTCTCTCTCGGTTGCCTTTTACTAACTTTTGTTCTGTCCTTCAAGACCCCTCTTCATGTACAGCTGCGGGCGGGAATCAACGATCTGGGAGCGTCCCCCACTAGTGGATTTTGGCTTCCCTTCTGATCGGCTGCTGAAGTTGTCTGAACCTAAACAGGACCCTGTTGCCTACCTGCAGCAAAGGTGAGAGGCCAGAAAGCCTTCAGGGTGCTATAGGTAGGCCCTTGGGTCTTGTAGCATCAGTGCAGCTTCGAAGAAATAAGTACAAAGTAATGAATAGGTACAACAGAGGGCAACATGCAGAGAAGGGACTCTGCTGGAATTAGGACCTCTGGATGCATGGCATGAGTGTATTCTACACTGGAAACGGCCACAAGACAAAGCTGCCTTCTACTGTGGAAAATGCAAGGCTTAAACATCTCAGCTGCAGCCTAGTTTAACCAGTGTGGAGGAATACCTGTGTGGCAGTGCCATGCTTCTCTGCTTCCAGACCTCACCAGTCCCCTCAGTGGCCCGTGTCGCCAGCTGCACTGAACTGTAAGGCCACCCCACGGATCCTAGAGCTTTCCCGGCCAAAGGCGGTGCACCCAGATTTCATGCTGGCCAGAGAGGTGAGGAGGTGGTTGGGTAAGATTTGCAGGAGACAGTGATGCAGCAAACTGTCCTGAGATTTTACAGCCTGTGTCATGGCCCTGGATGTGCCCAGTGTGTGTTATGGAGGCGAGAAATTGTCCGGTTTGGCTTTTAGATAGCGAGAGAAACTGTCTTTTCACAGTGAGATGTTGTCTTTGAAAATCTCACTGCTAAGAGACAGAAAACAGCCAGGCTGGATCAGCCTAGAACAGCAGGAGAGCAAGGGGAGGAATCTGGACTGCATCCCCTGATAAAGCAGCCTGGGAAAGTGAACAAACCTTACAGGAATGGCCTGTTTAGCTCCTAGGGAGTACAGTCATGCTTGTTGTTGGGCAGCTGCGCTCCTATCTGTGTGCACAGGGGGATGAACCTCCAAACACTATATATATTTAAACAGTGTTTTACTAGAAGCCTAATTTAGAGACACATCTCTGAACTTGCTCCCTTTAGGCAAGTCATTGCTTTGACAAGGGTGAAAGGGCTTGTGGCAATCTCAGATTACAGTAATTTCCATGGCAAAGGCTAAATTTTCTGGCTGCAATCTCTGGGCTGGGAAATAAGGGAGGCTGTGCTGGAGCAGTCCTTGGCATCAGTAACCTTGTGAAAAATACAGGAAGAGGTCCAATGCTGAAGCAGACTAGCAGTTAAAAAAAAAATCTGAGTGTCTCTCCTCAGCAGGGAAAATTATTTGATGCAGCCAGGAGGATGTATATGAAAAACATTTCCCTACCCTGGAAGAAATTTCTTGGCACTTTTACCTGGCTGCACAGGCTCTCGTTACAGGCATTCCTCTCCTGGCTATGAGTGGGCAACAGTTAGGGAAAAAAAGGTAATATTGGCTGAGATGTACAAATCCCAATAGTGCAAACATTACCTTGTAATCATGGTAAAAGAAAAGTAACGGGAGCTGGGAAAGTAAGGGTGCTCCTTTTTGTGTCCTTGTCTATAGAGGAAGGGTGCTGGGTACTCATCCCTTTGGAGAGGGAGTGTGTCCCCATGGGCTGCTGTGGATGAGCTCTCTCTCTGTACATCCCTCCTCCATTTTGAACCTATTCAGGTGCCAACACAGGTTACACATGCTGCAATCTCAGCCAGAGCATCCTCACGGTTACAGTGTCTTGCAGAGCCCCGGGTCAGGAAGGTGACCTGCTGCTATGATAACAGCTTTCCTGAGTCTGTCATCCGTCCGGTAATGCAGCGTCACCCGGGACCATGCACAGCAGGGACACCGGGCAGAGGGGGCAGCATGGGTTCCCAGTCACTGGTGGCTCCCTTCATGGCAGCCTTGGATGTGCTGCTGTCTGTGAGGCTGATGTCACTGCTTCCTGGGCTGCAGAGCAGGGCTCTCCCTCTGGCCAGAGCATGAACTGACTCCCAGCAGACATTCCAAGAGAAGGGCAGACTTGTGCCTAGTCTGCAGTTGTGGGGATGGGAAGAGATGGACATGTGTCTAATTAGGATCTCCAGAGTGCAGGTTGTGGGACTGGCCTGAAAGGCAGTGATTTCTCCTTCCACAGCTTGTCTGGTGCCAGTCACAGCTGTGGACAGGATCATGTCCCATCTGTGCATTGTCAGTGGCAGTGAACCTGGGCACACCTGAATTGCAGGCTGGTCACCCTTGAATGCCAGGAGCACCTGTAAGGACCTTCCTCCCCATTCTTCCACAGGTTTCCCTGTTGGCTCAAAAGGCAATTCCAAGCCCTCGGACCCTGGAGCTGGCTCGGGCAAAAACAGTGCATCCTAACTACATACCCGTGCGGGATGCTGAGTGGCCAGTGACAAAGGCAGCACAGCATGCAGTGGCCACACCGAGGATTGTGGAACTGGCCCAGCCTTGCAAAAGGTAGGTGCTGCTTCCTTGCCATGGGCAAATGATCAGCTGTCAGCCCTTTTTGTGCAGGCCATGACACCTTGTTGATTTGGGTTTGGGCAGTGTGATTAAGTCACTACTCTTCCATTTCCAAAATGCATGGATTTTATATACCTGGATGTGCTAATGGTACATGGCTTGTGGTTTAAAAAGCATTTTTGAGGTGGAAGGAGAATCAGAAGAGAAGAAATAGGAACTTTCTAATTCCAGTCATAACTGGTCAGGATTTCCCAATTATTAATTGCAATTATAAAAAGCAACCAGCTGACACATGACACGCTAGCACATTCGTGTTGCCCAGCATGATGCAGCTGGCCTCAACCTGTGCTGCAGGAAGTGATGGTTAGGATGTTCGACAGAGGGTGAAGGAATGCCTGGCTGTAGTGGCTGTGGCAGTAGTTTCACTGAGGGAGGGGCCACCCCCTCTCACTATTGTCCTGGTGACAGCAGCAGGGGCAGGACTGCTTTTGTTCTCCCTTGACAGGGAAGGGTAGGGCAGGGGTGGAGGGGTGCCAGCTGGCAGGCAGTTCTGAGGGCTGGCTCTGCTCCAGTCAGAACTGACCAGCTCTGTTCTTGCTCCCCCAGGCCTTCTATGAACTTTGTTCAACTCAATCTAGACGCATTCACAGTGAAGGAGTCTGCTATGAAGGCGACTTGTTCTGCAAGGATCCAAGAGCTGGCTCTTCCCATTAAGCGTTGAGCTACCTCAGAAGCACAGCCTGCTGCTCGTGCCAACTGCCCCCATCACTCCTTGGAACATCACCCTCTGTGGGCAGTCCTGTGACTGGAAAACCTGCTTGAGCATGGCATGGAGGAAGCACCCAGCTGGAACATTTTCTTATGAGCAGCCACTTTTACTGGGCTTATCTGGAGGAGTTAAATAAAGTGGTCATTCTTTAGAAACAAAGTACTCACCAGGGAAAAAGAGCAGAATTTGACCTAATAGGAAGCCTCTCTCCCTAGGATGGGTTATGTCTGGAGTTTGTTGCTCTTCTTCTTTTTTTTTTTTTCTTTTTTTTTTTTTTTCCTGTAATAGCTAAAGAAGTTATGAAACAACTGCCAGCACAGGAACTGTTCTTACATGTAAAGTGTGGCAAACCAAAGCTGATAGCGCGTAGCAGGTTGATGCAACACAACTCCTGACCTTGGGTTTCAAAATTTTTGGTAAAGTTTAGAATTCACAGTGACACTCAAAGTTTTGTGCTTGTGACAGAAGTAGAAACACAAAAGGCTGCAAAACTGCAGATCCAGGGCTGGGTTTGGTAAGGCGTAGAGCTTTAGTACAGACTTCGGAAATGCTGGGGTGGCATGTGCATTGAGTTGGCTGGGCTTTGGGGCCCATTTTCTCAAAGGCCTGGAGAATGGGCAGACCCAGCCTTTTGCTTTGCAGTGCTTCTGTGATACAAGTTACACAGTTAAATCTTCATTCAGTTGTGTGGTGCTGGGGAAAATAATGGAGCTCTGCATTGGGGTTTTGGGAGCCTAACTCAAAAAAGCAAAGTTCCCCTCAGCAAGGGAGAAGGCATATTGCAAAGGCTAAGAAGAAAACAGATAATTGGTGCCAGACTGCAGAATAAACTTGAAGCTCCAATTGGGTCTGAGGGTGAGTCAGTCTAGCAGCTGAATTGCAAGGGAACAACACAGCTTGCACAGGACATGGCACAGGGAGATTGCTTTTATCTGTTTCCTACCAGCTCAGTATTCTTTGCACTAGCAACCTAAGCACTGGCAATGGGCTGGAGATACTGAGGCAAGTGAGATGCTGTCCAGCAAGGGTCAAAGGCCATAAGTGAAAGCATGTGGCAGTTTCAGTGCCAGTGTTTCTTCATCTTCCCTGTGTTAAGTTGATTCTCCTTCCAAAGGAGTAGAGGCAAGCGACCACAAACCAGAAGAGGATTAAGCAGAGGATCCACTAAGCGATTCAATAATCCACTAAGCAGAGGATTTTTGAACCCTTTTGAACAAGGTAGTGTAAATGGGCATTGGTGCTGGTTATCTTTTAGCCCACGCATTGTCCTGTACTGGGATGGAGAAGAGTTCAGGCTTTGTGCAAGATCCCCAGCACAGTTGCATCCCTGAGGCTTGAGAATGGCCAGAGGGAGTCTGGAGCCTGCACTCCCCACCCAGTGGGGGAACCTCAGTATCACCAGCTTCTGCCACCTTGGGGCTGCTGTTGTGCATGGGGCTGTGTGGGCTGCCAGGGATGGACCCATGGGTGTCTTAGAAGAGGAGGTTGTCCATATTTGCAGGCTGAGGCCGGAGGGAAAACCCAGTGCCCACTGAGGCTGCCTTGGAGAAGTGCTGCCCTCCCAGAGGAAGACTGCCACTGAGTAGACAGCACAAGCAGGGAACATAAAACAACTCCTCTCATCAGAAAACTTTCATTTTTTTATTAATGCATTGGGAAAAAAAAAAATAATAAAAAAAGAAATGAGACCAGGCCTTTCCCTTTGGTGACCTTTAGCAAAAATGTGAGAAATGCATTCAAGGGGGGCTTGGCTTGGTCTGATTATGGTGTAGGCACTCGGTTTGCCAATATTGAGAGCTGACTCAGGCATCTTGAGCTAACTGAAATCCCCCGAACAACACAACTGGTTTTCCAAGTGTCCTCCTCTCCAGATGATCTGTATATTGAAGCTAGCATGCATACTTTGCCTCTGGGGATCTTCTGTGAACCTTTCATGACAGCTTTTCTGAAAGCCTGGGACAAGGACTCGAGTTGCCTTGCTCTGTGCAGCTCCTGTTAATGGATGGGAATCACTAGACAGGTTATGCAGCCATCAGAAGCTGTATACATATAGTATATAGTATACTATATATATATAGCATTTTTTATATATAGTATTTTTTCCTGATTATGTACACTTTAAATAAAACTTATGTTAAATAGCAGGGTATTACTTTGTGTCTCAAAAACGTTTGCAACAGAAGAATCCCAAGGAAACCCCCTCTGAAGAGCTTCATCATCGTTTAGAGCAGGCGTGGGCCTTGGAGCAGCACCCTCTAGTCCCTGACAGACCCACTTTCTGAGGGCAGCCCTTCAGACTTCCTCCACTCTGCCAGGCGCTGCTTGAACCATTTCTGGAGAAAAAAAGAATGAGAGAGATTCAGTGCACTGGGCTGAGTGAACCCTTTGCTAAAGTCTGTGGGACCAAGGTCAGGGAGGGCACTGCTGTCTTGTGGCACAGCACTGCACTGTTCCCAGGCAGCACAGGCAGCAGGAAAGCCACTGCTGACCATGCACCTCTTTCAAACGAATTTCTCTTGCTTGCTTTACACCTTGACAGCATGGGTGAGTCCTCATTTATTGACGAGTCTGGTTTTTCTTGCAAACAGAATAAGAGATTACCTAAGAAGCTGCTGGATGATGTATTTTTAAATGGCTGAACCAGTGAAACAATCACTGCAGGTTCAAACCTGACAGGAATAAAAACTTGACCTGCTTCAGAAAGGAGGAGAGCGACAAGACAGTGGCTTTCAGCAAATTTTAAAAAAATAGTTTCAAAAAATGAGTTAAAAATAATCTTAGTCTTCAAGCAATAGGCATGGTTACATTATTCAGGAATAATTTAGCATGTCTAAGCCAACTCCTGGAGCTGCTGATGCTACTTCAACACATCCCTAATTTCAGATGTTCACTGGAATGCAGCTAGATAAAGCCACGCTACTTCTGTAAGGAGAGAGATACAACTTCTTGTGTGCCGGAAGCACAGCTCAGCCTTTTGTTTGGGAATGTGCCTGTGATTTGCTTTGCTGCTGCTCATTTTGTTGCTATATTTGTTCATGGCTATTTTTGAAGCTATTGTGGTCTGTAATGATACAACCACGATGCTCTCTACAAGTGGCTCTGGCATTAGCAGTGCCTTGGACCACATCCAGCCAGATGATTGTGTGCCTAGCCTCCTCCCAAAAATTTCACTTCCTATCCTAAACCATCATCTCCTGTTGACTCACTACCTCTTTGCATCTCATTTTTACTAAATATTTTATTAAAATGGCTGCTATATCTAGCTGACAAAGCACTCCAGATGTCAGGAGTAATGATTCTCTCTGTCATACGCAATGCAGGCACTTTGCAGTTTGCTGTCCCAGTCTTAGTCCTGTCCCTAGCATGACCTTCATCTCCAGAGCTTTAGGAGCACCCTGGGTTCATGGAAAAATATTGCTATCAGGGAAAATTTTAAGAGGTCTCCAGAGGTGTCCTGGGCATATGTGACCTGTGTTTACAATTTGCTTTAAGAAAAAAAAACAACTACTCAACCTGAAGGAATTGGGAAGGAGTTTGCTTTTGAAGCCTGGGGTAGCCTGCAGGTAGCCAAATGGAGCACAGGGCTCCGTGGAAGCCCCAGACAGTGGCAGGCTGTGCCTGTGAAAGGACATTTGGAAGCCTCTATGTCTCTTGGAGAGGCTGACAGACTGGCCTGACATCTAGGTTGAGGGATGCTGAATTATCTCATTGTAGTGAGGAGTGTGCACAGCCTGAGCATGCCCCACATCTGCAGGAGTTCCATCTATCTGGTATCTGTTTTAAAATTACTGTAGTTTCTTCAGAGTACAAAGCCAGCAGTGTTTTGGGCACTTGAGACTATCAGTAAAGGGTTGGAAGGAAAGGACAGTATGCATCGTTGTATATCCAGGGTTCTATATCCAGCCAGTAACCCTTGGGGTGTGCCCTTCTTCTGGCTCGGGGAAGCACTAGCCTGGTCTCCGAGCCCAGGCTGGGGATGGGGGGCACCTTGCGGGGGGAACACAAGGATCCCTGTGGGGCACAGGGCTGCTGTGCAGGAGGCCATGGCTGTGGGATGAAGGGGCTGTGATTACAGGGGAAGGGGCTTTGGGGGTGCAGGAGTAGGAACATGTGGTGTGCAGGGAAAACGTGGGGTGCAGGGAGGTGCGGTGGTGCAGTAGAGGTCTGTGGTGCAGCGTGAGGATGGGGGTGCACCGGGGCTTGCAGAGGTGTAGAGACTTGTGGGTACAGTGTGGGGTGCAGTAAGGAGTATATAGAGTGCAGAGTGGTGCAGGAGGTGCAAGTAGGGAGCACACAGGGAACAAAGGGGTGCAGGGGGCGGGGGGTAGCACGAGAGGTGCAGAGGTTGCAGTATGGAGCCTGTGGTGGGACATGAAGGAGCAGAGGGTATGATAGAGAGACAGGCACAGGGCAGGGGGGAGATGTGGGCAGGGGGGGAGTGTATGGGGAATGCAGGGGGAGCAGGGGTGGTGCCAAGGCAGGGCAGGGAACACACTCACCAGGGTCTGCTCCTCGGAGAGCCCAGTCTCAGCTGCAATGAGGCACAGTGTGGTGGAGTCAGGATGCTTGTTCACTTTGGAGAAGTTGTACTCGAGGATCTCCAGCTGCTCCTCGGTGGGAGTCACTGGCTTCTCCGTGGCCATCTCCTCCCGAGACAGGGCTATGAAGCCAGGCACTGCAGAGAGGGCCTGGTGTCATTGCCCAAGCTGGCAGTGGCATGTGGGGCCACAACTACTGAGCCCCAGATTGCCATCCCTGGCCCCACCAGCTCCCCTCTACCCAGTGCCCGTGGCAGGGTCCACCTCTTTTCCCAAAGGCATGCCTGGCAGCTCAGCCGGGAGCCCCAGCCCTGCAGCTGCTCCTGCCTCAGCTTCCCCACTGCAGCGACCACACAGCAACAGCCCGAGCTGCACTCTCACCATCCTCAGCTGGCAGGAAACTGCAGCCTGTCC